GTTCTGGTGTTCATGCAATCAGTGCTGTGTGCGGTTGACCGCTCCTCAGGGAGCCGGGTGGAGCAATCAGTGCTGTACAGAAGCTGTCGCTCCTCAGGGAGTCGAATGGTTCTGTCAATCAGTGCATGTGTGATCGTTTGTTGCAGCGCGTGTTGCAGTCAGTGCGAGTGTGACCGTTTGTTGCAGTCATCAGCTCTGAGCTGATGGTGAGAATTGTGCTGGTGTGAGCAGGGAATGGTTTGTGAAAGCCGGATCGTTGTCTATGTGGGTAGAGTGATCATGTGTTTGTGTGTTTTATAGCTATATAGAAAGACGCAAGTTTTGGGAACTTCGTTCTGCACCACTTCGTTCTTTTTGGGATGAACCTTTGAAACGGTTGGAGTGAAGTTTTGAGCTAGAGGTAAGCGGCATGGTTCGCCGTGCTCCCGGATGATGACATCAAGCCACAGACACTTTGTGTCAAAGGGTCTAGGTTCACGAACCTAGACCGTCATGCTGAAAGGTGGCTGTCTGACGGGGGTACAAGAACCATCTCGTGCCTGCCTCTGGTTTTGGAGACCCTCGGTTCGAGGGTAGCTATGCTTTTTGGAGAGAGCCCAGGAAGAAATTTGAATTTCTTTGAATGTTTGAAATGCTACTGTGTTTGGCTCAAGCCAACTCACAAGGATGGAATGTAAAGAGATGTAAAGACAGCTGTAAAGACACCTTGTGTAGAGTAGAGTGTTTGCTTGTTTGCTTGCACTGCCCACCGGACACTGGAGCCTTCACTGAGAAAAGGGAGCAGCTTCTTTGAGCAACGCTTCTCAAACTGTGTTTGTTGCTGAAACTTTGGTTTTCGGAAACTTCGGAACTCGTTCGTTGAGCGCGGCTAATACTTGGAGTAGCGTGGTGAAGTAGTGCTGTTTCTCTGCAGGGATCAGTTTTTATTTTGCTGTTTTGAGGAATTTGCCTGAAAAGGTAGCTGAACATGTGCAACTCATCAGCGGTGCAGGCACTGTCCAGCAGCGGAACTTCAAAAACAAGCTCTCTGTAGCAAAGAGCCTCCTGCCTACTGTAAATTGAGAACTCACGTCGAATCAATCTGAAAAGTTCATAGCCATTGCATCAGCTGCCCCTCACGCCATAATTTGATTTCTGATCATGTGTTCAATCTTGGGGTATCCTGTGAAGGCCTGCTGAATCAGATGGAAAAGTCGCCTTGCCCTGAGCTCCTGCTCTGCTCCTCGCAAGACTATAGGCTCTTCCATGCGAAGTGCCTCCATCCTTGGCAGAGTTGGCATTCTGGTCCTGGAAGCCAGCGAGATGTGACTCAGGCGTTGTGGGCTCAGTATGGACCAACAACAACAGCAGTTCGGTGAATCCAATGAGTCAGCCTTATAGAGATGTTTCGTCAATCAGAAGATGGTGGTAGGTCTTCGCAAGATGTTTCAGGTGTTGGAGGATCTGGACAGGACGAGATGCAACCTATGGACTTCCACCAAACTGGGACTGGAACATTCCACCACCCCCCAACCAGCTCAGGAAGTAGATCCAGTTTTGGCAGGTCTTATGCAACAACAGCTGCAATTGAGACAGACTTTGATTGATGTTATGAGACGAGGAAACCAACAACAGCAGCCACAGCAACCCCAGCAACCACCTGTTGGAGTTCCTGAACGTGAACGACTCACAATGGACACAAAGTGACACCAGCAATGCCACTACCTTCGTTCAAGCAGTAGGTTAGCAAGGGTCAAAACTCAGTGAAGACTGACATGCATATGGTGGTCCAACACTCAAACCAGGTGCATTCGCCAAAGAAGGAACCAAAGACGAACTAGGCGCCACACTTGTATGATCTTGACCTTCTGCACTTGGACTCATTGGAAAAGTCGAGGTCCAGGGCTCACTCCAAGAGGACTCGTGGCTTCAGCCGGTGGTCCAAGCGTCACAGCTGGACTCGTTGGAGTCGTATTCTCCATGGCTGACAAAAACGGCTCAGAGAAAACCCTACAAACGGTTCTCCTTTCTCTCAAAGCGTTTTTGAATCCCGCTCTTAAGCCAAACATAACAAAGTCGGTTTGACTGTGTGTCTGTTTGTCCACTCTTCTCTGAAGAGGTCTGACTGGTCAGACTTCGCTTTTCCTGTTGGGTTCTTGAGTAGGTTTCAGTCGAAGCCACACGTTCCCACAGATGTTTGTCTTTGTGGCTTTCTCCGTTGGTTAAAGGGCCAACTGCACCGTGTGATCACAGGGAAGGTGTTGTTGTTGGGTTCTGCGACGCGTCTTGGAATGTCACCAGCGTTTCCGGTGCTTGGAAGCAAAGGGATGTCATTCCATGTGCTGCAGGGATTTGAGGAAACGGTCGTACAAAAGGGTTAAACATTTCTTTTTGTGTTGAGGGATTGTAACGTGTTCGAGGGTGCTAGAACAATTGTTTCTTTTCTCACTGTGCTTGGTTTTGGAATCGGTTGTGTGAATGGTTGTTGGAGTCAGCTTGTCAGCTCAAAGCTCGTGTGATCTGTGTAACCTTTTTGCCACAATTTCGACCATGGAAATGGGGCGCCATTTCTGCTGTTGAGGGAGAAGTCCAGGTGATTCCAGATGCTTTGGAATCAACGAGTGGGACTGTCGAGGAGACAGTGGCGGCTGACACTGTTGCTCGAAACCCTTAGCAGACGGAAGCTTCTTTGTCTGAAGGAGCAGCCTCGGTGGAAGGCATGTCTGGCAATTCCGTGACTGGAATTCTCCTGGGGCCACTTCAGGCTGTGGGCTTGCAGGTGCTGCAAAAGCTGAATCTGGGCAAGGCTGAAGCAAGTGAGACCTTGCTCAAAGAGATATGAAGCTGAGCGTTGGCATCGAAGTGCAATTTGACCTTGGACCGCATCCACAAGCTCCAGGCGGATATTGCCAGTCTCCAGGAGTTCAAGGGGAAAGCGCCCAGACCAGGACTTCGAGAACATTAAAGTTCAGAAGGGAGAGAACGAAGGGAAAACCATCTTCGAGTGTCGCATCAACCTAGAGGCCGCAAACTTACGCTGTGGATGTTTGAGGGATGGAGGCCACTTTTGGTCTTGGGCGTATTTTGAACAACTCGTTGCACCTGAAGGACAGATGGCCAGCCTACCTGAGATCCCTCGAGCTAGTGCGGGCGGATCGGCTCGCGAGACCGATGCGCTGCAAGACATTTTGCGTTGGTGCGTGGGAAGGTTTCGAAAGTTACCGACCTTGTCGGGGAGCTTACCAGCTACCTTGCCAATGTCAAGAGCGCTTCGAGTCCTGGGCCAGCAGGTTGAGCGAGATGTCGATAGCCGTAACAAGCCCATCGGCGCCCCACCGAGTCGTGGCTGACGAACCGAGCCGCAATCGGAAGATGGGCCTGAAACTGGTCTGGCAGGTTAGCGGATCCGGCAAAGGGGTGAACACTTTGCTCAAAGAATTGGTCACCGGGATAGGGCAAGTTTTGGGGCAGATGGACTCGCAGCTGGCAACGAGTTCAAAGACTCTGGAGGAGCATGGAAAGCATTTGTCTGCAGTCGAGAATTTGGTGAAGATTTACTCGACTCTACTGTGCACTATGTTACAATCACTTCTCTAAGGCACGAGGCACTGACAGCAGCCAACTTGAGATGATTGCAGGACGAAGGCTCTCAAAGCCGAGGACCTCGTTATTTGGATCCTGTGTTTTGGCGGAGTTGCCAGACTCAGTCAGAGGCCAATCACCGAACGAGACACGAAACATTGAAGCGTGTTTTATTCACCCAGGTCTTGTGCGTGGTGGTGTTGTACAGGGTTTTGTTCGTATGGATGGCGCGCAAGAACTTGTTCGTTTCACAGCACGGAATGTTCCGATTGAACCGCTGCAGTGGAAAGCGCAATTAGGGTCAGGTGTGTTTTCTTCTTTGGAGCATCCGGCAGGGGAATTGGAGGCTCCAGTTTTGGAACGTTCGGATGAGGCGCGAGAGTTGAGTGATTTGCCACCTGATGAGTTGCGTCGGTTGAAAGCGCAAGATCACCCAATTGAGCCACCTCCACCTGTTCCACGACTTGCACCAACTGAGCAGGCCACAGAAACGGAAGGCCACTTTGCGAATTGACCCCATTCCCATGTCAGTTCGAGTACCTCAGGTGGTTGCCTCACCAGAGAAACAAGAGCCGAGCAAGGATGTAGTCCCGGTGGACGACTCAATTCCGGCTCATGAACCATTTGTGTGGGCAAATGACATTTGAGTACGTGCGTGTCGTACGTGAGTGTCCCACGAGAGTGTCCCACAACAGTCTTCCGCAACAGTGTTGCACAAGAGTCCACAAGAGTGTTTGCAAGGGTGTCCCACGAGAGTGTCCTACAAGAGTGTCCCGCAAGAGTGTCCCACAGAGTGACGAAAGTGTCGCACGAGAGTGTCCCACAAGAGGGTTTTACAAGAGTGTCTCCTACAAGGGCGTTAAAACAACTTTTAGGCGTTTGTTGTTCCATTTTTTCCAAGTGCGCATTGTTGAAGCATGGGCCTTCTGTTTTCATGTGTGAGAAATGTTGGTTACCAATATGTTCGCTTTATTCGCTTAGAGCTTCCCTTTTTCACGTCAACAGTTGTGTTACAAGTCGAAACTAATTGGTGTTCGAAAATGAGCTGGCTGAAAAGACAGCACAACTTCCGTTGTTGCTGATGGACGCTGCGTCCAGCCGAAACTGCTAGATTGGACAGCCATTTTAAGGTCGTCTGTTGAGGGCACTTATTGGAGGATGGTATTGTTACGGATTGAATGCGTCGCGTTGTTGAAATGTTCAAGTCGTTTTGCTGTTCATAGATGTAATGTGGATTACCATTGTGCCGCAACATGTGACCAAGACGTGTGACCAAGGGTTGTGACCTGCATTTGATGTTTTTGGGTATATTTTGGGTGGTTGCGAAGGTCATACCGGAAGACTCTTCTTATTGAAGGCCATCGCTATTAGGTTGGAGGCCATTGTTTCTAGGTTGGAGGCCATTGCTATTAGGTTGACTGTTCTTACTGACCTTTTGCAGCCATTTTTCACGTGGATCAAGTTCACGCGGCCTGTTATGGCAAGATTGTTGCGTCTCCCGATTGCAAGTTGAACAAAATTGTTTCTGTCGATTTCGTTTTCGAAGTCATGGACTTGTCCTTTCGTACCGGACCAGGCGGTCATGGAGTTCTTCTTTGGCGGCTGTGATTCCTCATGTCGGGCTGTGACACCACGAATATTCGTTGACAGGACAGGTGGAAGACGGTTGTGGCTGCCTTCGTGGGTTTCTGCTAGCGCAGTGATCCCCAACTGAATCACGCATTTCGCATGGTGGTGATCACGAGGTCTTGACACACAAACTCAGCATGTTCACATGAGAAGATGTGTCTATTTTGGATGTGTCTATTCATCCAGGAACATGCCAGATCTCTGGCAAGTGGTTTGCAGCAGTGCGGTGCAATTTGTCGCTTCGTCAACATATGAAGAGTTTGGGTGGTTTTTAAGATTGCTTCCCAACAAATATGCCCTTCCATTTTCAGACCTCATGCTCGCTGTACTGAGGCCAACAATGTGGCGTATGTGGATGCGGATGGACCTTGCACTTATGCGCAAGTTCTAGCCAAGGCAAGAATTTGTCATGAAAAACACTGGAACAGATTTACTGCAGTTTCAATCGAAGAACTAAAGACGCGAGGAAAACAAAGAAAATCCAACTTCCCGCGGACGGAGGTGAAACGCTTGAGTGCTTCGCTTTCTGTGATACTGAAGGCTGGGCCGCAAAGGTTGAAGACTTGTTTTACTTTCTGTTTGACCGAGGAGAACGCGGGGGAGGAAGAGCTAAGCTTCTCCGTCCTCCTGCCCAACTGTCCGACCCACGTGGTGCCTCGGATGAAGCAGGATGTCTCATGACAATCATTGACGAAAGACAAGAGACATTGACGAAAGCAGCACCTTCGAGCGAATCTGGTTTCGAGCACTGAATCCTGACTCAAAAGCCTTATCCAGCCGATTGACTGCAAATGTTGGAAAGCTCAGGACCTCTTTTTCGCAGCAGCTGCAACGCGTGCAAAGGTGGTGTGTTTAAATCATCGCTTGACCACAGAAGAGCATCTTGGATCAAATCTGACCAGGTACAGACTATTTTTTAGTGTGGACATGGCGGAGAAAAAAAGGAGGTCTCCAACGCACACTTTGCCAATGGGCGTTCTCCCCGGGAAGTGGAGAGAAGTGAAGTGGCGTGGATAGATCCTCCAATTTAAAAAAGAAACCGTTCCCCCCGGCGCCTACTTAATTAAGTAGGCGCCTACTTAATTAAGCACTGGAGAGGTAGCTACCAGGTAGCTAGTACCTACAAGTAAGCTACTAGTAACTGGACGCAGGATAGCTTGTGCTTCTTCAAGGAAGCTCCCCCGCTGCCCTAAATGCGGTGGGGGAAGCTTCCTTGAAGAAGCGCTCGCAGTAATGATTTGGTTCCTAGATTTTTAGGGAAACTTAACTCATGGCGATGGCGTCCAACCTAGTAGCTTCTTTGGAAGAGATGCATAGCTTTGGTCTCATGGACCGCAAGCAGTTGGTTTTGGAAGACACCACTTTGCCTAAACGGAATGTACCGTGGACTGCTGTCCTTCTTTTGCATGCCCAAACACGGACACGTGCTGCTGAACATGTCTTGGTCAGGGGTGTTGGGATGTTGAGTATTTCGAGAGTCAGACATAGAACAGTGGTGCAGCCTGAAAAAACATTACTTTTCTTCACAATTCTCAGGCTGCAAGTTCTTTTCGAGCGGGGCCACAGTCCCTTGCTGATTGCAAGTGAAGGCTTTTCAATGGGACTGGGAGAGGCCAGGATGAGGGGGTCTTCGATTTCTTAGGTGCAAAGAACAGGCAATGCCGCATGCAGCGTTTAAGACTCTGCCAACTGCAACTTAGACGTACAGGGAAGCATTTGCGGAGTTGCACCTCACAACATGCCTTGCGTCACAGGTGCACTGGGCCAGCACAAAAATTCACGTCATCGCATGGGTGCTGCTTGGCATAACATGACGCGTGTCATACGTCAGACGTGCTTGCATGCGGCAAGACTCCAACATGGAGAAGTGTTTGCACAGTTGTTTGTGCAACTTCTTTTCTAACTTCTTCCTCTCTCCCCTTTGAAGAATTCTCAGGTTTGACATTCCAGATGACTTCTCAGACCCCATGGTGAAGTCTCACTCCTTGGCGGATTTGTATGCTTCGGAGAGTACCTTTCAGCCACCACCCCTTGCGGAGGCAGGGAGGGCCACAATGAAGATCGAGTCACCAAGCATCTTTATTCGGATCGACCAATGCTTACAAGATAGCTAGTAGGTTGGAGGCAACGCTACTAGGCTGGAGGCCATCGCTGCTAGGCTGGAGGCCGTTCCTATTAGGCTGGAGGCCATTGCTAGTGAATGGATTGAATGGCACTTGCTTGCTCTTTTCTCTACTCTTGTTGAGCCTTGTTGATTGGTGCGAATCGACCTATTCTCGCAGGACACCGGGCTGCAGGGCTTCTTTACCTCTGGCAGTACCGGCACACCAAAAAGTGTCACGCACACTCACAAGATCTTTGGATTCAACGGCCCTTCTTTGGCCGAACAAATTTGATGAATCCCTTCCAGTTCATGTCAGCACCTACAGAAAAACAGCTAAACACAGTTTCTGCATATAGTCCCAAGAAGCCTGCGATGAGACAGATTCAAGTTGAATAGACAGCAAAAGAACAGAATTGATTGATTTGTGCTTTGAGTGAGACTGAATACCAGCTAGAAATAGGATAGATCTTCTTTGAACGAAAGTAGAGAGGCTCAGAGAAGCGGATTATTGGTCTTGAAGCGGATGATGGTTGTACCGAGGAATGTGTACCATCATACTTTGAGTGCCTTTGCAACGCACAAGAAAAAACTGAATTGCTACTAGGAACAAGAAGCTACTAGGAGCAAGGGCATCGCTATTAGTAGCCAATTTGCCACTAAGTTTCACCTTTGATCTGAAGTCGTCCCACCAGGAAACAAGCATTTGCTATGCGTGCAATTTTAACAAGTGACTTTTCATGAGGTGCTCTTGTGAAAACGACAGTGCTTTTGGCTAATGGTGCCAGATCTTTGATTTGTATGTTCTTGCGGAGGTACTATTGAGGCACTAAAAATAAAAGCAGATGATGATGACTGCTGGGGTCATTTTGGTCCCCTCTTTCATTGCGGCACACCAGCCTTCATTTGGATTTGTGCTGCTCGGCTTTGATAAATGCAAATCGGATGGGTTTGACAAAGCCTCAACCAGGTTTGAGGTCATTTCTTGTTTAAGAATCAGGTAAAAACTAATTCTATCCTGAAGGAAATATCATGCCCGCACTGCATGGTTGAGGCTATGGTTGGAGCACGACAGGTTTTTCATGAGCTTCTTGGCATGACTCTTCAAGGTTGTGTCAATGGCTCGAGAGAGAGAGAGAGAGACAGAGAGAGCGAGAGCGAGAGCGAGAGCGAGAGAGAAACTTAGTATGAAAAAGAAGCCACATCGAAAACGACAGATTGAGAGGCCATCCTTAGTAGGTTGGAGGCCATCGCTAAGGTGTCGGCCCGAGCGCCTCTCAGCTGGTGCACCCGGGCTGGCCAAAGGCTCGGGGGGGACGCGCATCCATGTTCGACCCGGAGCCATGGCTTCCCTCGATATCCGAGGGTACCCTGGTTTCGTTGACGGGCAAAGCTTGGTACTTTGATGAAGCTGGCCAAGGTTACAAATGCACTTCCCTACTGCACGGACAACCCTTTTTGCTGCGAGGAAGCACTTTGACCACCGAAAGGTTCGCGGTTATTGGAGCTACAGTCTCCATGGTAGAAGGTTTGCCGCATGTTGACACCCACCATGCAGCGTTGAAAGAGCACTTCATGGTCTACAACAAAGCTGCAACTGAAGTCATAGATGCATGTTCAGGCTATGGTATTATGACAGCAGGCTACAAATGGATTGACTGCACGGTTCGATGCCACATAGAGCTCAACCCCAAATATGCCACATGGCTTCGGTCCACAGGGGCCAATGTCATTGAAGGGGACATCGCAAGCATTGCTGTGCAAAAGGCTTTGGTCCCTTACACACGCAAGCCATGTATCCTCACTGGAGGTTTTGCTTGTCAGCCCTTCTCGCAACTGGGCGACAAACGACAACAGCTCGACCCACGTGCAAAGAGCTTCGAAGGGATGCTGATTACATGCTATCTGCATCAGCCCATTGCCATGATTTTGGAGTGCACCAAGGAAGCTATGACCTCAACGTGGGTACAGGGCACCTTGCATGCCTTTTGCCACCGTACAGGATATACCTTCCAGCAACAGCTGTGCCATCTCCAAGATCTATGGCCGGCCAAAAGGTCTCGGTGGTGGGGAGTTTTGGTCCATCCAATGGTCACCATGCCACCACTTCGCAGGTTCCCGGCCCTGGATTTTGTGCCATCGTTCCGCCACCTAATTCCGAAGCTTGCTGAATGGCCTGCTCAAGATCTGACAGAGCTTCAACTGACAGCCCATGAGTTAGAAGTGTTTGCCGAGCAGCCTGGAGGCCTTGGTAGCAACTCTGTCAGCCCGACAAGGCCTTTGATGACAGCCCTTCACGCATGGGGCTCACAGTTGCAGGCATGTGCATGTGGCTGCAGGGCAGGTGGCTTCACGACCAAAAGGTTGGAGGAAAAAGGATTGTATGGTGCGCTGATTCCCATGCCTGGAACCACCAAGGTTCGACGTCAAGACATTGCAAACATGCGTCATGTCCACCCAGATGAAGTTGCCATTTTGCACATGGTACCCACTCGGTACATCCATCAAGGAGACACCGGCCACCTTCGCCTTGATCTCACTGCACTAGGCCAGATGGCCTCACCTGCCCACGCATTATGGCATGTTGCACAAGTGATCCAAGCCCTCGGCACCGCCTTTGGTCTGCCAGTGCACCCGATGTTGGCCGAACAAGGCCTCCTGCAACTTGGCATTGAGACATTTGCGGCACGTGATGAGATGTTGAAACCTTTCACACACACGAGAGAATCTAGCCTCTTCCAAACGGCCTATCACGCCAAGTTTGGTAGTCAGCACATCCTACCCACCGATGAAGACTTGTTTCCTGCGGAAGCGGTTCTAGACCTTCGACATCAAGGGGAGGGAGGAAACAAACGAAAGGGTGCCCCAGGGATCGAAGAGGATCATGACACCGATGCATCACAAGGCATCACACCGACGGGGGGGCTCGAGTTTTTCGCCAACCGACCACACAGAACAGGCTGTACTCAAGTCATCATGCCGGCCGTAGGCCACTCCGCAGGCACGTTTTCGCATATGACCGGGTCACATGAAGACTACTCCGCCATCCGGAGGCCATTCGAGCTAGGTGACAAGAAGATAGTGCACCCTGTTTCGCCACAGTCTGACCACTCCTCCGGGGGCCCTAGGTTTGCCTATGAGTCACCCGCCGTCACCGCCATGCCACAGGATCAACTTGACGAGCCTGATCACCAGAGAGTGCGGACAGACCTTAAGGTTCGGCCCGATTTTGCATTGCCGCCAGAGCCCACTGAACAGAGTAGGATTCTTTCGTCTTCAAGGGAGAAAGAAAGTCTTGAGGCAATAGATCATGAAAGGGTGAACCTGTTGAACAACAACGATATCGGCAAGCTCATGCCAACTCAGCCATTCCTCATCACAGTATGCAGCAAGGGGGCCAATCCTGTTGAAGTGCGAGTCCGTCCGGGGTCAACCACTGGCCAGCTTTCCAAAGCCGAAGAAGGCATTGAGTCACTCGTGCAGCCAATTGTGATCACAACCATGACTGGCACCCCATTGCCACTCGCAAGCTGGCTCACACCAGGGGCTTGGTACATTGTTGATAATGGAGCGACCCATTCCGTCCCAAGATGTGCAGACATCCATGCCCAACAAGAGTGTGTACTTACCGTCCAAGCCCATGACCGGTTACAAGGGCTACTCGTCCAGGGGCCTTTGGTTGCAGTTGACGAAATGACATTTTATGCTGCCATGATTCGCAACCAAGGCCACGATGTTGCAGATCCCATCGTCATCGACAGCGCTGACCAAGAGGATCAAGCACTTGCGACCTGGGTCCTGACATCCCTGCATGAACATGAAATCACCAAGGACAGAACTTTGTTCCAGGTGCCGGTCCTCGTCCGAAGCCACTGGGTCCCCGTTGCCCTTCGAATCACATCGGCTGGAAATCGGGTCACAGTCCCTCAGGAAGTCATGTCACTCATCCAAGATCACCTTGTAGCTGACGTTGGACCGCATGAACTAGAGTTTGAGGCCAGTACAATGCCCAGCGCATTTCATGCCGATTGCGGCTTCCAAACTGTCAATTGCATTTTTGCCCAAATCATTGGTACTGACAAGCCGAAGCCGATCTTGCCTGCACAGGCTGACAACTGGAGGGTCCTGTTTGCCGTACATGCCAAGCGACTCCATCTCGAGCAAGCACCGAGCATTAGGGTAGGAGGTACCATGCACCCGGATCAAGTTTTGTTGCAAGCCTTGCTCGCTCAACATGGTGTCCACAAAGAACGGCTTGCCACGTGCGCAATCAATCTAATCCAGCAGCTGGGGGGAGACGAGATTGGGAAGGCCCTTAAGAGCCCCCAACCATGGAAAGATCTAAAGACCCTTGCATCACAAGCCTCTCCGCCCATTCGGATTGTGCTAGCAGCTGAGGTTGATGCGGCTGTCAAAGACAGATTGGCCACCAAGAAGCCATTCGGGTCCAAGGCCAACAAGACCAAAGGACACCGGGGCTCACGCCCACAGGTCATCCCGACTGCAGATCAGATCAAGCTGCCTGATTCGCTTTTCGTCCAGCAAGATGGCCAGAAATTACCGTCCATTCCAGTCCATAAAGTTGAAGCGCATGCCCAGGGGGTAGCTGTGTGCAACATCCAGGATGCCTTGCACTTCCTCAGCTTGACGTCCCCGCTCAGTGCAGAGGGGGTTGCTCTACTCATACTTGACCATGCTGACCCTCGACTGCCCCCACAGGTTGAGCACATCAGGGTTCCAGCGATGTCAGCAGCAACCAGTGAGCCAATGCTGGTCTCCGCTGCAATGTTACAGCTGGGCAACAAGAGGGTCCTACGCCATGTGCCTGCTGAAAGTTTTGCCCTCGATGAGATCCAGACGCAGGTATTAAAAGTGGTGGTATACCAGGATGAGTGGACCAGCACGTGGTCGTCTTTCCTGCAACATCCAGTCAAAGCGATCTTTGATCACCAAGTGATGCAAGATGCCGAGATCCCTCAAGCCGAAAATGTGATGGATGTTTGGGATCGACAAACGCTGGACAGCAAGTTGACACGCACACAGCCCCAGCAGGCAGAAATCTTTGCAGTCCTGATTCGGGTCACCTCAAGGCTAGCAGATCATTTGCTGCCAAGCGCCGGAGTTGATGGGGTCTACTTTGAACCCCGCACCATGGATGGCCGTCGCCCTGACCCGCAGTTCCGGGTGGTATGGATGCCGAAGAAGAACCTAGCACAAGTGAGACTGGCACGCAGTCAAACTGAAGCTAAGACACACATTGTGCGGATGGGGCAGAGATATGGGCTTCGGGTGCATCACGAACACGCAGAACAAGTTCACCATCAGCACCGACCTGACTTGTTGTTCCTGGATGGACAAGCACTCCGGCCGTACAAAGTTGGCCCATTTCCATACGGGTCCACCAAGGCTTCCATCTCGATGGCCTTCAAGCACTTGGGTTGGCAAGCTCGACCCGTTCAGCCGATCTCCCAAATGCAGGTCCAAGACGGGATTTTCTGGCAAGTGATGGCTCCTCACGAGCCTACACACTGGATCTACCAGCTGAAACATGGTGACATCCTGATTGCCAAGATAGAAGACCACAAAGACACGGTCGTGCCAAGCGTGCACAATGTCATTGCATCCAAGAAGACGATCACTACCCTGGCACATCGGACACAAGAAAGCCACACTGACCCGTGGCTCCAACAAGACCCATGGCAATCCGGCAAGAAAGCATCACAATCGGCACCAGCTCAGAGCGTATCCCCGGGTCAGCTCCAGGCACTCGAGCATAGGCTCGAACAGAAGATCCAGGCCTCCACCAAGGAGCCAAAGGAAGAATGCATGCAAGTTGACCATACGGCCCGGATTGACGCTCTGGAACAACAGATGCAATCGCTGACACACAATTTTACGAGCTTCCAAAGCCAGCAGGTCAAAGTCAACCATCAGCTTGCCCATCAGCTGCAAGGCATAGAGGGCCGGATTGATGCGCGCTTAGATGACCAAATGCAGCGCATTGAAGCACTTTTGTCTAAGAAGATGAGGCATGAGTGACTAGGGACCACTCATGCGGGGGTTTTTGCAAGCACAGTGCCCAGATG